GTTAAAACATTGACAAACTTAAGATTCAATCGACTACCCAAAGGGATTTTCATTTCAACAACTTTTTAAGGACAATTTCATTGTTGATTTTTTTCTCATCTTTGTGAGCCAAAAACTAGAATAAACATCGTTTATTTTTCATGCTTTTTCCATCAATAATAAAGTATATTAGATTTGTCATTTCGTTTGAAATTTGAGAAAATATTTGGTATAAATACAAAAGGAATATAAGATAAAAAGATTTTAGCAAAATATATCCACAAATTATTAAAATAAACATTTATTTATAGTCTAGTGTATAGTCTAGTGTATAGTCTAGTCTATAGTCTAGTCTATAGTCTAGTCTATAGTCTAGTCTATAGTCTAGTCTATAGTCTAGTCTATAGTCTAGTCTATAGTCTAGTCTATAGTCTAGTCTATAGTCTAGTCTATAGTCTAATCTATAGTCTAGTCTATAATCCAGTCTATAGTCCAGCCCATAGTCCACTATAGACTAGACTATAGTCTAGTCTATAGTCTAGTCTATAGTCTAGTCTATAGTCTAGTCTATAGTCTATAGTCTAGTCTATAGTCTAGTCTATAGTCTAGTCTATAGTCTAGTCTATAGTCTAGTCTATAGTCTAGTCTATAGTCTAGTCTATAGTCTAGTCTATAGTCTAGTCTATAGTCTAGTCTATAGTCTAGTCTATAGTCTAGTCTATACTCTAGTCTATAGTCTAGTCTATAGTCTAGTCTATAGTCTAGTCTATAGTCTAGTCTATAGTCTAGTCTATAGTCTAGTCTATAGTCTAGTCTACAGTCTAGTCTACAGTCTAGTCTATAGTCTAGTCTATAGTCTAGTCTACAGTTTTTTCACATTAAAGCCTCATTAGCAAAATTTATTTAAAAACAAGTTAGAGTGCTATATTCGGCTGAGCCGAATCTTAAATACCCTCCACCAGCAACTTTTGTATTAATACATTTCTAATTAATAAAATATTTGTAGAAATAAGTTTTCTCATGTCATAAATAGAAAAAACCCAAGATTTAAACATCTTAAATCTACTACAATTCCAAGATTTATTGAACATTAGAAACGCCACTTCCTTTTAAATTTTTATAGCGCCCTAAGATATGCTTTAACGATATCTAGTATTTGCATGTGTGTGAAAGATTTAAGGATTTTCAAAATACATACATATACAGTAGTTTTCCGATTTAACGACCATTCAATTCTACGAACATCGCATTTAACGAACAAGCAAATTTTTGCTATTGAGTACCTTAAATAACGAACAAAAATTGTTTTTGTACTCTGTTTAACGAACTAATAAAAATATTATTATTTAAATGAAGATAAAATGACATTTATCAAAAATAACAAATAACCTAAGTTGTAGCAAAAAACTATACCGTTGTTTTAAGTGGTGCTTTTATATCCAAAATGGTAACACATTCTGGGTCCTTATTAAATTCTAAGACGATGTAGCCATGTCCGTCCGTCCTTCACATAATGACTTTAACGCTCATTACTCGCTTAACAATACGAGTACGACAATGAAATTCGATACAAACATGTTCTATACTAACCGAAATCTCTAACAAATTTTATGGGAGTCTATAATTGACCCTACCCCATATCAGGCCCCCTTCAGAAAATTACTTCAACGCTCATTACTCGCTTAAAAATACGAGTATAGCGATGAACTTGGAGAAATAACTTTAACGCTCATGAATGAATTCAAAATACAGCGATGAAATTCCACACAAATATGGTTTGAAGGTGGGTATATAAGATTCTGAATTTTGTGTTATGTGCTATTTTTATAAAAAAAGAATTAATTTTTATAAAATACATTTAAAAAATATTTTATGTACCTATTTTTAATTATTTTCCTACCAAAAACCCACGTTTTAGTTAGTACAGCATATAACGAACTTTTCAATTTTACGAACAGGCCTGACAACATATATGTTCGTTAAATCGGAAAACTACTGTATATAATTTTGTTCTACACAAATTTAAAATGCAAATAGTTAAATACGGTTAAAGCGCTTTTAGGGGCAGGACCTAGTATGAGAAATATGACCAAATATAGACCGATCGTGAAAAATTTTTTAAATAACATTAAGTGCTTTTTGCATTACAAAATAGTATTTATGAACAAAAATAGTATTTATTTATATCATTATTTGGTAATGAGTTATGTGCCTTTAAGTGTTTTTCTGAAAGGGACCTTGTATGGGAGCTATGATCAATTATGGATCGATAGGAAAACAATTTCACAGTAATATTTCTCTGTATATGAGCAATATTTCTGCCAAACTTTATATGGATATCTTAATTTAGTAATGAGTTATGCGCGTTTAAGTGATTTTCGGGAGGGGACCTTGTATGGGAGCTATGACCAATTATGGACCGATCGAAAAAAATGTTCACAGTAATATTTCTGTGCATATGAGTACTACTTGTGCCAAATTTTATATTAATATCTTAATTTAGTAATGACTTATGCGCGTTTAAGTGATTTTCGGGAGGGGACCTTGTATGGGAGCTATGACCATTTATAGACCGATCGGAAAAAAAATTTCAGTAATATTTCTATTCATGTGGGCAATACTTGTACCAAATTTTATATGGATATCTTAATTTAGTTATGAGTTATGCGCGTTGAAGTGATTTTCGGGAGGGGACCTTGTATGGGAGCTATGACCAATTATGGACCGATCGGAAAAAAATTTCACAGTAATATTTCTGTGCATATGGACAAAACTTATACCAAATTTTATATGGATATCTTAATTTAGTAATGAGTTATGAGTGTTTAAGTGATTTTCGGGAGGGCACCTTGTATGGGAGCTATGACCAATTATGGACCGATCGGAAAAAAATTTCACAGCAATATTTCTATGCATATGGATAATACTTATACTAAATTTTATATGGATATCTTAATTTAGTTATGAGTTATGCGCGTTTAAGTGATTTTCGGGAGGGGACCTTGTATGGGAGCTATGACCAATTATGGACCGATCGGAAAAAAATTTCACGGTAATATTTCTATGCATGTGGGCAATACTTGTACCAAATTTTATATGGATATCTTAATTTAGTTATGAGTTATGCGCGTTTAAGTGATTTTCGGGAGGGGACCTTGTATGGGAGCTATGACCAATTATGGACCGATCGGAAAAAAATTTCACGGTAATATTTCTATGCATGTGGGCAATACTTGTACCAAATTTTATATGAATATCTTAATTTAGTTATGAGTTATGCGCGTTTAAGTGATTTTCGGGAGGGGACCTTGTATGGGAGCTATGACCAATTATGGACCGATCGGAAAAAAATTTCACGATAATATTTCTATGCATGTGGGCAATACTTGTACCAAATTTTATATGGATATCTTAATTTAGTTATGAGTTATGCGCGTTTAAGTGATTTTCGGGAGGGGACCTTGTATGGGAGCTATGACCAATTATGGACCGATCGGAAAAAAATTTCACGGTAATATTTCTATGCATGTGGGCAATACTTGTACCAAATTTTATATGAATATCTTAATTTAGTTATGAGTTATGCGCGTTTAAGTGATTTTCGGGAGGGGACCTTGTATGGGAGCTATGACCAATTATGGACCGATCGGAAAAAAATTTCACGGTAATATTTCTATGCATGTGGGCAATACTTGTACCAAATTTTATATGGATATCTTAATTAAGTTATGAGTTATGCGCGTTTAAGTGATTTTTGGGAGGGGACCTTGTATGGGAGCTATGACCAATTATGGACCGATCGGAAAAAAATTTCACGGTAATATTTCTATGCATGTGGGCAATACTTATTCCAAATTTTATATGGATGTCTTAATTTAGTAATGAGTTATGCGCGTTTAAGTGATTTTCGGGAGGGGACCTTGTATGGGAGCTATGTCCAATTATGAACCGACCCATAAAATTTTTCCGCTGAAAGAATTCTATTGACACAAGATTTTATTTTGTAAAATTTTGTGAAGATATCGACATTGTGGCGGAAGTTATTAACAAAAAACCCATTTTCCGGGAATTTGTACTTTTGTATGGGAGGTATATGAAATTGTGGACCGACTCTGGTAATTTTCAGTAGGGATCAAGATCTTGTGCAGAAACAAATATATGGTGATCTCCATGAAATTATCTTGCATAGTTTTCGAGAAAATTATATCATAATGTGTAAAAAATGCTTATTTTTTTCCGAGGTTGTTTTAAATTTTGATTCATAACTTTTCCCGGTGCGAACCGATTTTGCCCATTTGCAATACTAAACAACTTAGGAAAATGAAGAACATTTTGGGTGAATTTGGTTAAGCTCTATTGCTTCGTTTTATCGTGAGCGTGTTTTACACAGACAGACGGACAGACGGACATAGCTAAATCGACTCAGAATTTGATAAGGACCCAGAATATATATACTTTGTTGGGTCTCAGATGAATATTTCTTGGTGTTACACACGGAATGACAAAGTTATATATACCCTCTATCACCACTGATGGTGGTGGAGGGTATAATGAAAAGTGAAAGTTAACTCCAATATCTTAGGACGTATGGCTTAGTATGCAGTCGTTAGTGCCCGATATAGTTACTAATTCATCTTTCTTCAACTGATTTTACAACATGCCACACATATGACAATAATCATTGTCATCAAATGCTAACAATGCCGCAGAAACATTCTATCTCTCTCTCTGTCTAATACACACATACACTTGTAAAAATATTCCCTAATATTATATTAATAATATTCCCTCTGTCTAATACACACATACACTTGTAAAAATATTCCCTAACACATACCGACAAAAATATTTACATAACTATAACTATTTCCCAAATGCTTTTGTTTTTAAAAATTCTTTGGTTCGTATTTACTATGCCTATACCTTCCACAAAGGGAAACAGGCCCAGAAATAAAGAAAAACTTATTTTCTATTATTTTTTTACTCATGCAATATTTTTTATCAATTCTTGTTTTTTATAGATGAAAATTGGGCATTACCAATGGCCATAGCAGCAAACATGCATGTACCATATAAAATTGAAATTGGAGAAGATGACATACGTGATCTGAATGCTGAAGATAAAATTGGTAAAGGTAAGTATGGAAATCTACGTTTGTCTTTTCAGTTGAGTATCTTGGTTTTGGAAGATAAAACGCATTGGTTAAATGAACTTGAACAAGTGCTAAAGATTTTTTGGACAGTGCTTTAAATTTTGCAAGCTTTAGGAAAGTAATAATTTATTATCACTGCTAGTACTTAGAGGAGTCAAAGTTTAAGGTTTAATAGAATATGTAATTGAATTTGAAGTCATGATTTTCGTATAGGCTTATAGGCAAAGAAAAGGTGTAAGCAAAATGTTAGAATATTTTTTAAAAACTTTTGTTATTAAAATATTTTATTAATATATTTTTCTCTAAAAGGCTTTTTTACTGCAAGGTTTTACTGGAAAAGTTTTATTACATAAAGTTTTATTACAAAAAGGCATGCGAACAATAAACCTTTATTACTAAAAGCTCTTCTACATTAAAGCTTTATTATAATAAGATATTTTCGAAAAAGCTTTATTAAAAATTTATAATACAAAATGTTTACAAAAAAATCTTTAAATGAAAACCTACAAAAAGATTTTTAACAAAATATCTTTATTAAAAAACTTTTTTTAAAAAAGCTACACAAAGAAAGCTTTTTTACAAAAATTTTTGTTACAAAAAGCATTTTCCCTGCAAAGAGCTTTTCTTCAAAGCTTTATTACAAAAACCTTTATACACATCAACAACAAAACCTTTTTTGGAAAAACCTTTATACAAAAATATTTTTTTCAATTTTTTATTAAAAAGGTGTCTAAAAATTTAGATTTATTACAAAAAACTTTTTCCAAATACATACTTTATAACAAAAAGCTTTTTCCAAAAACTCAATTACAAAAAGTTTTTCCCAAAAACATTATTACAAAAAGCTTTTTCCAAAAACTTTGTTACAAAAAGCTTTTTTATAGAGTAATAAAGAAAAGCTTTTTCAAAGTTTTCTTATAAAAAAGCATTTTTACAATACAAACAACTTTTCTTCAAAAGTTTTAAAACAAAAAACTTTTCTGCAAAAGCTTTATAATAAAAAGCTTTTCTTCCAAAGCTTTATTACAAAAAGTTTTTCTTCAAAAGCTTTATCACAAAAATCTTTTTAAAGCCTTTATTAAAAAGACATTATAACAAACAGCTTTTTACAATGGCTTTATTACAAAAAGCTTTTTTAAAATCTTTTCTACGAAAAGCATTTTTACACCAAAAAAAAAAACTTTTTTCAAAAAAGTCCAAAAACTTTGTAAATTTTTTTTACAAAAACTTTATTACACATACATTTATTACAAAAAGCTTTTTCCAAGAACTCAATTACAAAAAGCTTTTTCCAAAAACTCAATTACCAAAAGTTTTTCCCAAAAACTTTATTACAAAAACTTTGTTACAAAAAGCATTTTTATACAGTACTAAAGAAAAGCTTTTTACAAATTTTCTTATAAAAAAGCATTTTTACAGTACAAACTACTTTTCTTTAAATGTTTTAAAACAAAAAATTTTCTTGAAAAGTTTTATAACAAAAAACTTTTCTTCAAAAGTTTTATAACCAAAATCTATTCTTCAAAAGCTTTATAATAAAAAGCTTTTCTTCAAAAGCTTTATTACAAAAAGCTTATCTGCAAAGATTTATTACACAAATCTTTTTTAAAGCCTTTATTACAAAGACAATATAACAAATAGCTTTTTACAATGGCTTCATGACGAAAAGCTTTTCTAAAATCTTTCTTACAAAAAGCAATTTTCTACCACAAACAACTTTTTTCAAAACTTTATTACAAAAAGCTTTTAGAGAGGCTTTTTGCCAAAATTTTATAACAAAAAGCTTTTTTCAAAGTTTTATTACCAAAGCTTTTTCCAAAAACGTTATTACAAAGTGATTTTTTAAAATCATTATAACAAAAAGTTTTTTCAAACGCTTTATTACACAAGCTTGTAAAAATAATCCTTATTACAAAAAAAGCAATGAAGATGCTTTCACTCTTTCACCCAACCTCCCTCAATTTCCAAAAATCTGAAATCTGTCTACATGTCATTTCGATACAAAAGTATTTAACCAAAAATATGTTTTCTCTGAAAGATTTTTTCTGATGTCCTTTTTTTTTTTTTTTTTTGTTCTTTTATCTTCCAATTTCCAAAGCAATTATCATTACGGCTGCCATGAATGATGTTACAACATTACGCCTGCTCAGCTTATTGGAAACCTTAATACATACCAAAGTGCTGCTCATTGACATTGTGGCAACATCTTTTAATGCTGAAAATCGTTTCTACAAGTATTTGACACGTATTAAACCAGAATCTCAACTAATGTCCAATCTGCTGCTATTGACAATACTGAGTGACAACTATCGATATTTCCTTAATGTGGCCTTTGATAATAATGGCATTGAAATGGTGCAAAATTTTCGCCAACAAAAATTGGAGCGTGAAAAGGAAAAAAGTAAACAGGCTCAACCCAATAACTGGCCTATACATTTGGATGAATCTGTAACGGAGGTGTTGCAATTACGTGAGGATAGCAATAACAAGTTAAATAGAACTATATCTGCAGAAATGGCAAAAAAAGAATTTTTATTTTTACAGCAATTGCTAAAGGAGTGTTCTGTACTGAATGTTTCTGCCACAAATATAAATTTATTATGTATTAATTCCCAGCATATAAAAGAAAACTGTTTGAATGAGAAACAACAGCTGGTCTTTGAAAGATTTTGCCAAAATCATAACACCTTTAGAGAACAGCAATTAATAGAAAATTTAAGAAATTTTATAGATTTTTTTAATTTTTATGATTTTTTAATTGCTAATATTTTAAATTCCACGCCAGCTGAAGCTTCGACAATATCCTCAACTGCTAGTAAATCTTTAAAACATGTGCCAAAATACGATTTTATTGTTCTAGATGTGGTACGTGGCATTGCCAATAAAGTTGCAGATGCAACAAGCCATATATCCGTTACTAATGATACCACTAGCAGCAATATGTTTGATTTTATAAACGGAAAACATCAACTAGAACTTCAATACTACAGTTTAACAAATACAACTAAAAGTTCATCATCATCTTCAACACCATCATCATCATCATTAGTATTTAAATGGCGTCCCCTATTGATATTAGAACAACATGAAATCAATTTAAAAACCTATATAACACATTCCATTCTACCTGGTTACGATGATTGGCTGTTAGTTAGCACTGCTCAGCTTTGGTATTGTGGCTCCATATGTTGGACGATTATTGCCATATGTGTGGGTGTCTTGTTAGTTATTGTTGTGGCAAGTGTTGCAGCTGGTATTGCCATGAGGTATGTATATACATATGTTTAGCATGTGTTTTATAAAATGTGCATATTTTATTTATATTTTTTTTTTATTCCAAATACCTAGTATATAAAATTTTTATTCTATTTTATATAATGTGTAGACAATTGTTTTAGATATACGGTGTATATACATAAAATAACATAAAAGGTCATTTCATTTTAAAAGTTAGCATGTTGATGGAATAGACAAATGCCTTTGTTTCGGTTCTTTTTATACCCTTCATCTGAGAAGGGTTAGATATAAGTTTGTCTTTCCGTTTGTAATTTCTACAATATAATGTTTTGACCCCTTAAAGTAGATATATTCTATCCGTCTGTATGTTTGTAGAAATCAATTTTAAGAAGACACCACATCCAAATCATCAACAATTCTGGCAGACTTTCACTTTCGAGAAGTTCTCTATTAGAAATCCGCAAAATTGGTTCATAGAAATCAATTTTAAGAAGACACCACATCCAAATCATCAACAATTCTGGCAGACTTTCACTTTCGAGAAGTTTTCTATTAGAAATCCGCAAAATTGGTTTATAAATAACGGAGATATGAGCAAAAATCCGAGACTATCTCTGCAACAAAAATAGATTTTTTTAAAGAAAAAATAATGAAGAGGACTTTTTGGTACTTTTTTGTTTATTGACTGTTTTTTCAACACACTATGGTGAAATGTATGTAAGATTCGGCATACTATGGTGTAGTGTATATAAGATTCGTCACAGCCGAATGTAGAACTTTTACTTGTTTCAATTTATTTCAAAGTTGACATTTTAGTTTTTAATTAAAAATAATTAAATTTTGTTGGTAGCATGGAGCGTATAATAAATATTTATTTATTTAATATTAAGTATACGTACTGTAATAATTCCGTAACAATTGTTTGAAAAAATAAATGACAATGAATTCGGTAAAACATCAACTGCTGGAGATATTGTAAATAGTCGAAATTGATATATTTTGATGAAATAAGGGCCACTGGGTGGTCCACCAAATCTTGATCTTCTCTGATCTACTTAAACTATAGAAAATGTTTAAAAAAATGTTATTTCTTCACATATTTCTCCAACTTTTTTTTGGATTTTTGGGCGGACCTATGGAGATTCAGAAAAACTTGATAGTTCAT